GGGTCAGTATGTCTTTTAAGTATACTGTTGATTATCTTGGATATGTTAGTAGTAAAATTCTCATTTCTGTTTTCTATGTATTGGTTTATTGTCTGTGCGTGAGTAATGTTGTTTTCGATTTTTTTTGCGTGATAGATCATTTTTTGTATTGTTTTGAGTTTGTTTATTGTGGTATTAATATTGTTGTTAGTAAGGTTTATATCTGTGATTGGGCTGATTGTTATTTTACTCTGTTTGTTTATTAGTTGGATATCAGAGTTAATTAGCTGTATATTTTAGTTTGTGTTTGTGTTGCTACTAAGGTTTCTAATTACTTTGTTAATTGTTTTAAGGGCAAAGTGTAATACTATGGCCTTTGTAGAGAAGGCAAAAAAGGTTTTTAGTGAGGTTATTGTGGTAGGTATGTGTTTTGACGCTGTCTGTTTTACTGCTATATAGAACTCATACCAGTGTTTATTGAGAGTTGAAAGATCTATTATTTGTTTGTTATTAATTTTGCTTTCAAGGATGGACTTTTTTGCTTTCTGGTAAAATCTGCCCATAGGTCTGCTGTCATTTGGTCATATTGGTAAATCGTTCTTTTATGTCTTTTGTTTTTGTTATTTTTGATCTTGGGGTTGTATTTCCAGTCTATGCAGATGATCTTGTGGTTACTATCGATAATTAGGTTAGCTGGCAGAAGTTCGGGAGGGGTTATCATGTGTATTAAGTAGTTTGGTACCCATATATCATCGATTTGGCTTTGTATTTGTTGTCTGCTCCAAGTTGGTGTCGTGATGTTAAATATTCAAGGGTGCTTGTAAGTCTATTAGTTTGCATAGTTTGGAAGATAGGAATACTTTGGTTGTGTTTGCTGCGGTCATAGTTAAAGTCTTTGAGAACTATTGTATGATAATTCTTTTTGCTAGCTTGCTCTATCCACAGTGTGACTGTTTGTTGTATACACGATTTCAGATCATTGTTGTTTGATAGGATCCCAAGCAATTTATGTAGGGGTAAGAGTTTTAAAAAATTACTAAAAATAGAAGAATCTGCACAAAAATGGTCAAAAATAAGCATATGTCTTACTTAAAATAGAAAAGATCTGTAAAAAATAGTTAAAAATAAGCAAATTATATTTTTATCCATATATAGATTACTCTGGGTCCTTGTTCAATAGCAGATATATAGAGATAATAAGGGTCTTGTTTTGGTTCAGAAAAAATAAATCGATTGTAATTGCTGTGCCAGGATGTGTGATAATATTATGAATATATGGTCTGAGTGGTTTATATTAATCAATTATTATAATAATTAGTATTTAATAAATAATTAATTTTAATATTTAATAAATATTTGTTTAATTTATATTAAAAAATTAATTTAATTTAATATTAATCAATTATTATAATAATTAATATTTAATAAGTAATTAATTTCAATATTTTATAAATCTTTATTTAATATAACAATATATACAAAAAATAAATAATAATTCTACTAACAAATAACAATACATAGCTTTTTAATAAACAAGTCATTAACAATATCTTATTATCACACTAATAAACCTTATTAACTTCTTTAAAAACAAAATAATTAATACTACCAACAAATATCTAATCAAATATCAATAACAGTATCTAGAGTTTAGAACTAAATTTAGCTATATTTAAAATTTGGATTGTATACAGAAATCAGGCATTGACTATTTGTGCAAAAATGTGTTTCTTGCCGAATTTATTTGAATCTTGCAAAAACTTACTCTATAAAATAAATATTTATGACACAAATATTATACAAATTTTATATAATTTTTTTTATAGAGTCAATTTGATCTTTGTCAGCAAAGAGTCAATATAATTGGTGTTTTGGCAGCTTTCATATTTCCAGTAATCGAATTTATAAATCATCAAGTCAAAATCAATAAGAACAAACTTATCGTTAGGGTATTTTTCAAATGCTTCAGAATTTTTATAAACAACCGTAATGCAGGTTGAGCAATTTATATGTAGCATATATATTATTTACTAGATTCAGCTATAAAAAAAATCAGACTGTTGACATATTGATATATGGTATATAATTGCGAAACTTGTAAAATAATAAATCCGAAGCCCTATTTTTTTTGACAACAGGACAGGAATTAACCTGTTATAAAAAAGTTTTACCAACATTTCTTCATTATGCTTGCATAATATTGTGGAGTGTCCTCAAATTCTTTATTAAAGATACAGATTTTAATCTGACGCTGTTATATACTGAATTCAGCCTAAAACTTCCAATGCTATACAGTAAAATTCCATAAGCTCTACGTTGTTCTGCTTATAATACTGTGCTTGTTAGTAAAATAATAATGTAAAAATGTATATTAAGCTTTTGAGGATCAAACCTACTTTGAATATCTTTGATTAGTTAACTGAATTTGACATTTAACACTTGCATTTTTCACATCTGGTTGGATAATAATAAATTTTATTTAGTCGGCAGTTTATTTATTTATAACAAACTCACCTAATAGATTGTGCATGAGTAAAGAGAAACGGATTTGAAAAATTTTTACCTCTTGGTAAAGTTGACCAAATGTTATAAATATTTGACGAACAGATTGTTTAAAATAGTCATTCGTTACCATTCATATGTGTCACTCAAAAGCAATGATCCAATTACTCCTGGCTTTCGTTCTGATAATTATCATAACACATTATGAAAGTATGCAATCTTGGATATTCATGCTTACTTTTTTGGCAATAAGATTTTGTAAAATCAACGTAGGCAAAATTTAAAACAATGCTGAGAAAATCAAGGCAAACTATAATAAATTTAATGCTGAACTTGAAATAAGTCTGAAAATTATTGCATTGGTTATTTTCAAAATTATTCATGTTCTATTTCATTAAAGTTAGAGAATTTTTAATAAAGTTTTAATTAATGTTAATCAAATAAGCATTGTTCTACTGCTTAACTTAGTTTTCTAATTATTAGTTAACTAACCTGGATAGCAAAGCCTCCCGTAAATATAGTGTCTATATTTCAATTACGTCTTGAATCTTGATTAAAACTTTAAGTTAGCAGAGAGTTTAAAACACAGCCGAGCGAAGCATGACCAAAATGTGAAAATGTCAAACTCAAGTAAAGCCAAAAACTATGAAAAAAGTAAATAGAACACCACTTTAATATATATTTTTTGATTTCAATTAATTATGTATTATCAAATTGTCAGTGCCTGTTAATACTATATACTGCTATATCTAATGTTGATAGTGAAGCTGCCACATAATTATATACTAGTTAATATATTTATTTACAAGAAATATATTTGATATATTAAATTTTGGTATTATATGTACTATATTCGCAATTGAAGCAATAGGAATCAAAGTGTGATGTTCTATATATTTAAGAATTCTACATTTATAGAAATAATGACGACATATATCGGATAGATATGCAAAGTCATACCAGTGAACTAGTGCAAGTTCGAGTTTCTGACTTAGTTTTGATGAAGAAATCTGAAGAATAAGAAGAATCTGAAAATGTAGACAATTTAAATACAACATTGTTATTATTAATTTTATAAGCACATTTCTAAGTATATGGTATTTCAAATTTTTGATTTACATAATAATTTATACAGTACTTTTGCATAACATAGGCCATTGTCCGTTAAATAATCATTATGTTCTGATTCATCCATTTCAACACAAACATCTGAGAAAGCCACTTGCCCATGATAGTTAGGAGATACATAGATAGTCATCTTATATTCATTATCTAAATAAGCAAACTCAAACACTTCAATTGAGATTGTCTCATTCATAATATCTTGCAGTGACCAATTTTCTATGCTTTGAAGGTAATCATAAATGCAGTCTTCAAGTTTTTCGAAACCACGCATTCATAAATTGTTTGCACCTGATGTATTTACTATAATTTGATCAATTGTATACAGTGTCATCTGTTTGATGGCTTTTTTTGTTGTGATGCTGCGATATGAGCTGCTATTAGGCCGTGATCGAAACTTAGAAATGAGTGACATAAAAATGTTTTGACATGTTACCTTTTATGAAGTTGAAATTAATAGTTAGTATTTATTTTATTGACAAACTATTGATATTGATAAAATGAATTATCGAAAGTGTATATTTACAGTAGCTTGCATTTGTTTATTAATATTACATTTATTTGTAATGTGAAATGGTTTTTTGACATTAGTTTTATGCAACAATTCATACGTTTCGCTTGTAAATCCATTAGGTGCTTCAAACTGCCAAATCGACAGTATCAGGTGAAATCGCCAGCTATGTAACTTGGGTATATTTAAATTGGAAGGTCAAAATTTTGACATAAATTTGACAAATAAGTCACTCTATGCAATGATTGATCTTTGTTTTTTTTTAAAAAAAATAAAATAAAAGTGTGATTTTTTTTTAAAAAAATATTTATTATTAATGAATCTACCTCAAATTTACTAAGATCGGATTTGGTGTATTTTGACTATTTGCTCCAAATATACATGTCATTCCATAATGAATAAAGATCACACAATTTTTTATTGAGATTTTTATCAAGTATTAATTCATCCAAAACAAAGATCATAATTTTCATTAAATCTCTATATTCTGCTGCGATCAACCATGTGAGTCACTCAAATCTATTTTTGAATACTTTAAGATTTGGATAACGAGGAATCTGAGAAAGACGCTCTTCAAGAATCTTTATTGGACTGTTACCATATTTTGAATTTAAAAGTTTGACAGTAAATTTTAATTGATATTGGAAAAGTCCAAAATCTGCATAATGCATGCAATCGGGCACACACATAGTATAAACGTTAAAATAGCTACATATGTACGTATAAAAATGTATTTGCATATAATTATAGTTTAGTATTTCACCTTATATAGAAAAAAAAGCAAATTGCCAAATGACACAACACGAATATTGCAATTATGTTAGGTAATACTTACGAACATTTCCACAAAGCATTCTTAATATGATATACAGATATTTGCTTGCCATTACCCTTACTCTGCCACAAAAAATTCTTAGTTGTATTTTCATTGCAGATGATTATGTTTTCTTTTTCAAGATGAACATTATTCATCGCATTACGATCCACCAAGCAGGAGTAATACAGATAAAAAGATTTTGCTAAGTTATAAGTAGCACACATAGTACATGCTTCTGACCAGTCCGAAATTATGAGCACCAAATATGGAAAAAACTATTTGAGGATACCATTAACATATAAATAAATGCTGTTATTACTTAAAGACCTTAACAGTCTAAGTATTGTTGCAAGTGCTTTATGAAAAAGTTTTTGGGCTGCTGACCTAAACTGTGCTGTTTTTTTTTAGATACACTACAATAATCAAGATTGGGAATATAGCCAAGCAAAATTTTGGCGTCAATCTTATTACAATGAACTAGGGAAATATTGCCAAGTGTCATAAAGATTGGATGTCTCAACGTCTTTCCTAAATGGTCGCAGAGAGTAGCATCCGAGTAAAGTATAATTGGCATAACATTCACTCCAATAGGAATGTTTTGCTCTACGTTTCTCCACCATTCAGAATCATACATGTCTGAATACTGACGTTGACCAGTTATCTTTTAATTATAAAGTTAAAAGAAAAATATCATTGAATATATATATATGGAAGAAAAGAGACGGATTTGATAAAATAATACACATAAAAAACCATTTATCTCGTGAACTGTTGACTAAAATCGCACGAATCGAATGGTACAAAAAACATGCGATTCTAATTGAGATAATTAATTTTTTTATGCGTATTATTTTGTCAAATCTGTCCCTTTTCTTAGTATAAGGCCTTTTGATTTTCTAGACTGATTATATTTACTTACATTATCAATGGATAATTTATGCTTAAATATGAATATTTCAGTAATATTTTTATTGGTTAAGATCTGATGTATCCCATCAAGTACTGTTTAGAATTCAAGAACATACCGGTAATCTAACCCTTCATATTTAACAATAGGTTCTTTTCTCCACCCGAAATTTGGCAGATTAAGGTTTTCAACAATTTCTGACCACTTTGTGATGTTGAGAGTAAGGAACGATCATTCCGATTTGAGTATTTGTTGAAGAACCTAATAAATGTATTTGCGAGTGAATCCTGCACATGAAACTATGTTATTATGTGCAAGAATTCCGCATATTCTTCTAATGGAAATTCTTGATATATATCTTCAAGACCTTTTGGTATTCCAGAAAGTAAATCATTGTACTCATCGTATTCGCTAATGTCAATGTCTGTCACATCTGATAAATCAGATACTACAGATTCATTATCTGTTGTGCTACTGCCTTGAGAATCGCTTGTACAACTAAATAATTCAATGTCCTGCCTTTCGTCCGATTCAATATAACTTTAGAATGTTGTATAGTTAAAAGGTGATGCTTCAAGATTTTGCATTCTATTAAATTCGTCTACATTAAAAAAAAAAAAAAAATCCCATTTAAAAATAAATAAATCAATAAATAAATAAAAAACTACTTCCTAACCATTATTTAAATTATATTCGAAATGTTTCCGCTTATGAGTTACTTCAGTTTTCTCAGAAATATTTTGTTTGTCAGACATGTTTCTCTCAACAAGAACGTGAGTTGTCGCTTCAAATGAATCTTGAGAGATTGATTGACTTGGAAAAGATGAATCATCGTCACTGTCATCCAAGTATTTTTTAATATGATTACCCAATGCTTGCCGGTCTTCGAAAGTCTTTTTACAAAAAGAACACTTCAGCATTTTGAAAATTAATAGCTCGACGGAACGTAGATAGATACTGAGACTCACAGTTGATAATATTCTGTTGTACAGATTGATACTACTTATAACCACATAATAAAAGTTTACAATTTGTGTTTTACTTTCAACCTTTAATATTGACTTGCACCTTATTTCTGTGAAATATAGTAATATTACCTTTTATTCACCAAGACATTCTTACTTCAGTACCACTTTTACTTTACAAAGAACTTATTAAAGAAAATTTAACTCAATTCTTATTATTTTTCCTTTAATAAGGCTTTTACTATATTTTACTATAAAATATATCTATATTGCATCACAGACTAAACTGATTTATACTATAATTAGTATATAAATTATAAACCAGTTTATGTATGCGAAGTTTATTTAATATGTGCATAAGGTATCTTGCCATCACATTAGGTGACAATTTAGCATTTAATTAGTTGTTGGTATATATTGCAAGTTAATTGTACATAGTGCGATGTCAAGAAAATGACATCAGATAAATGATATCAGGAAATCATGCATAATCATTATCATTATATAATGATTCATTAAATATTTAATTGTGTTTATTATATAATATATATAGTATGTGTATATAGTTAAAAGTTTCTAAATTTCTAATTAGTAATAGTTTCTTTCCCAACAAAAATATTAATCTTATAAAGTAAAAGATAAGATTGTTATGTGGAGAAATTACTATTAAACAGTGAAATAGAATAAAGTATAAGTTAAAAACTTGTATTAAATGGTGCGAATTTATAACTAATTATATTTTAGATACGTACATTACTCTTTTTACAAATATGGATCGCACCAGGAAAAGATATCATCCTTATCAGTGCACAAAAGTGCTCAGCATACTTTGCCTAATATTGAACTTTCTGAAGAGCAGACGAGTCTTTCAAGCATCCCAAGTTCCTCCTCAAGCAACTTAAGTGGTTTTACTCAGGTCGCAAAAGATGTAGTTATAGAGACGCATGATGATAATAACATCTCACCTGATGTAGAATGCTGCGAATATCATTTGTCAAGCGATAACAAAAATCTTACCAATGGCGATTACATTTCAGGAAATGAGTCGATCAGTTCTAATCGTAAGCGTAAGGATAAAGACAAAGCAAACAAAAATATAGATATACAAAAAAGAATTCATAAGTTATTGTTTTTTTGTTTTTTTTTGTATTGGTTATTTTATATTTCAAATTTAACGTGCTTCCTTTAGGCCTTGCGTTCACAATTAAGAGTATACAAGATGTATAACTTCAAACAGTTACGATGATTCAAGAGATGCAAAAAAAAATAAATGAAATGCATGCTGATTGGAAAGCTATCGGATTCAGCAGTAATTCAGAAAATGACACAAAGTGAATAGAGGTACATATGTAAAATCGATCTATATCTTATCTCTATACATCAATGTTAACACATTATTATTTATTTTTCTATAATACTTTGTATCAGGATGCAATTGGTAATGCTATCTATGGTATAACCAAAAAAGTAAAGTATCCTACAGATGAAATCCTCAGAAGTATGCTACAACGCTTTGTCAGATGCAAACAATAACGAATTTCAAAATTGAATAAAACATGGCAGATGGAGAAGGTTTTACAACAAACACATCCATTCCTTGGTAAGCCAAATTAAATGTTTAGTTCATACAAATTTAATGCCTTGGTTTTCTCAACATGAGACTTTAAATAGACCCGGCCAGTTTGATTTTTTTTAAAATTTCATATATAGAATTTTATCCCTTAAACTGTAGACTTTTCCAGGCAAATTTGCCTGGAAAATTATCATAAATATGGTTATGATCTACTTCTTT